GGCCCTTGGAGCTCTTCAAGGCCGATATTGATTCCGCCTTCCGCAGAATCCCCTTGCGCCCGGAGCACCGACGCTTCGCTTGGGTCATCTATTGCTTCGCCGGCGTCACCTGGGGAGCCCAGCACGTTGCCCTCCCGTTCGGAGCAGGCCCGCGCGGGCCATCCCGCCCCACCCGCCGCCCCGCCGCGCGTCGCGGCGCAGTCAGCAGCGTACACAACTGGGAGAGAATCGGCGCGGCCCTAGTGGCCATCTGCAGGCGCCTCTTGCGGATCCCAATCCTGAGGTACGTCGACGATCTGTTCGGCGTCGAGCGCTCCGGGGAGGCCCGTCTCGCTCTGTCCCCTCCCCCCCTTCCGTCGCACCCGGTCGACCCTCTCCGCGCTCGCGCAAAGGCCCAGCACGCCCTCTCGTGCGTGGTCCGGGTGATCAGGTGCATCCTGGGCCCTACGTCGGTGGCCGATAAGAAAACTGAGTCGGGCCCGTCGCTCGTGATTCTCGGACTAGCCATCTCGGTGCACCGCGCGCGACGCGTTCGCGAATGGGGGGCTAGGGCACTGTGCGTGCGGTGTCGCAGACCTCACGCAAAGGGCTGATTGCGCGCCCGTCCAAGGACAAGGTCGACAAATGGACGAACCGAATCAGGACGGCGCTTGACGACGGTTCGATGACCGCAGGCGCGCGCGTGATCGCGCGCCGCGCGCGCCGGGGGCGACACCTTTCTTTGCACAGGTGGGGCCGCCAAGCTCGCGGGCGCGTTGTCGTGGGCGGCGTCGTGGCAATTCCGCAAACTAGGCCGTGCGATGCTGCGGCCCTTGTTCGCCCACGCACACTCGGGGCGTCCGTTTCTACCGCGCCCCGCCCTGCGCAGCCTGGCGTGGTGGTTGGAAGTGTTGCAGAGAAGCGTTGCAGAGACAAGGGAATGGGAGCCCGCGGACACCCGCCCGCCGGTCCTTGCCTTCGCTGACGCCCGGGGCGAGCCCCCACGAGCGGCCGCCGTCCTCTGGATCGACGGACGTTGGGAATACACAGACCAGATGCCGCCGGCCTGGCTAACGAGGCCCCGATCGCGCGCCGGCGACCGATCGATGCAATTCGGCCTGCGCGCAGGCAATTCCAGCAGCGGAGCGACGATCAGATCGCCGGACTCGAGATGCTCGCTTCGGCCTTGGCGATCTCCACCTGGCAGAAGGAGCTCCGGGGCCGCAAGGTTCGCCTCTTTAGCGACAACACGATCGCCGAATGGTCGTTCCGAAAGGGATCAGCGAAGTGCTGCGACCACGGGGCCATCGTCCACCACTTCTGGTCGGTGATCGGGCTGCTCCAGATCAACCTCCGGATCGACCGTGTCCCTTCCGGCGGGCCCGCGCGTTATCTCTGTCAGGTCGGGTCCCACTCCCGCGGCGCGCCAGTTGATAACATTTCTGACCTGCCCAGTCGGGAGGATTATGATCTCATGACACGCATTGGGGCCACCTGGAGGCGCCCGTGGCTGCGGCCAGAATTCTGGGACCTCCAGCTGCCATGCCAGCTCGCGGCCCGTCCCGTCTGAGCGCTCTCGCGGCCTCGCCAGTGCTCTCCTTCCCCCCGCTCCTGCTCTCCCGCCCACCCGTCACCCCGCGCTCGCTCGCGCGTAGCGTCATGCGGCAAGTCTGCCCCCGCCCCGAGGGCATTTTCAACGTATCCATGGCGCGCGATCGAACACCGCCGCGGAGGTGCTGTTACGTTCGGCTGATCCAGCGAGCGCACACCGCAAGTCATCTCGCGAAGGTCGCGGCGCATTCCCTTTTCAGGAGCGAGATGCGGCAGCGCGACACGGACGCGGCGGCCTCGTGGCTGCGGGGCCGCGGGATCCGCTCGTGGTTCCAGCTCGGGCGGCTTCCCGCGGATTCAGTGCCGTCCCTGGGCTTGGCTAGGGACGCGCGCGCGACGATCCTCCGGGCCATCCAGCTGGCCATCGAATGCCGACTGGACGAAGCACTCTGCACCTTCGGCACGGAACTCGAACCGGAGTCCAGCTGCTCAAGCAGCGAATCTGATACCATCGACTATCGCACGACGATGGTGGGCGCGCCGCAGGGCGCGGACGTCGATGACGACCCAATCGAAACGACGTCGCCTTAGCCGCGCCGTCACCGGCCAGCGCCGGTCGCTCCCGCTCGACCCCGCGCAAGGCTCGCATCAGAGAAAGAGACGCGAGCGCCGCCCGGGAAGGCGCGTCAGTAACGCGGCACGAACGCTCTCACACGCGAAGGGGGCTATCGAGAGGCGCGCAGGGCGCGGGGCGACCTCTCTCAACGCGCCCCTCGGCGCGCCAGAATGAAGCTCGCCGACCAGATCGCCGTTGCGACCCCGTGGGCGTCACCCACGGTCGTTGAGGAAGTCGCCAAGTTTCTGGTTTCTTGCGATGTGTTCGCGATCTCATCTGTGCGGGCGGTTGGCGCACCGGAAAACTGGAGCGGCTACGTGAATCTGTCGCCCGACGCGCAGCGCGCGATCGCGCTCTTCGCGCGAGCAAAGCCGCCGCCGGGCCCGCCACCTGCGGCGGCGTTCGTGAGTGACGAGGTGCCTGCGGCGCCCGTGTGCGCTCAGCCGTGTGTCTCCTCCGCCGCTGGCTCCTCCTCTTCCTCCTCGTCCTCCTCCTCCTCCTCGTCCTCCTCGCCCCCCCCGCGGGCGGGTGGTAGGAGTCCAGCCGCGCAGGCACCCGCACGCCCGCAACAGGAGGGCGTACTCTCGCAGCGGCTGCAATTAGCGCGGGCGACGGCCGCGCTGAAAGCGTCGCCCCTGGGCTCGAGAAGAGGAGGCCCGCGCGCCGCAATTCGACGCCTGGCCGTTGCGCCGAGCGACCCCGAATTCAGGAAGCGCGCCTTATTCGGGGCCCGGTGCGCCGCCGTCCTCAACGGTGCCCCGCGCTCCATCGGCACGTGGACAGCCGGCCTGAGGTGCTGGTTCCGTTTCGCCAAATCGCAGCTCGGAAAAGGGGACAGCCCCCTCCCGCCAACTGCGGACGAGCTATGTCTTTGGGCTTTGTGCTTCTCGAACCCCGGCACTTTTGCCAATTACAAAGCCCAGGTCGACAAGGCCTGCACGCTGCTGGGCCTCGACCGCTCAGCGTTCAGCAGCCCCGCCGTTTCGCGCGCAAAGGCCGCGATCAAGCACCGTGCGCCCCAGCCTGACCCGCGACCTCCCCCTGTCACGCGGAAGGCGTTAGTCGCGATGTTGCCGCACGTGCCTGACCCTCAGGTGCGAGCGCTGTTCGTAGTCGCCTTCGCACTGGCCTTGAGGCTTCCCTCGGAGGCGCTGTTGATCAGCATAGGCGACCCAGCACGGGCGGCCAACTTCCGGTTCACGCAGGAGGAACTGGACCGCCCAGTGCCGACCATCGTGCTTTTCAACACGAGCGAGGCGGTCGTACTCCACCTCTCGAGGCGAAAGCATAAGCCCAGGCCTAGCGAAGTCAGGCGCTCGTGCTGGTGCAGCATCTGCACCGCGACCTGCCCAGTGCACGCCCCGCGCGCCCTACTGGGCGACCTCGCGCCGGGTGCGTCTCCTTTTGCCCACCTGGCAAAGCCGACCAGAGCCGGGCGCGTGCTCCCCGTGCCAGCAATTACCCGCAACCTGCGCAGGTCGGCGCAAGCGGCGGGCCTCCCCAATGCCGCCCGCATCACCTCGAAGTGCCTGCGGCGCGGCCACACGGAGACTCTCCGCCAAAGCGGGGGGAGCCTCGCCACCATCTTGAGAGCCGGCAACTGGAGGTCCGGCGCATTTAAGGCCTACCTGGACCAGCCTGCCCTGGAAGACGCGGCGACGGGCGAGGGCATGGCCCTCTCCGCCAGCGCGGGCCCTGAGGCCGCGGGCCATGACCCCGCAGGCGCTGCATCTCAGCCGTAATGCGCGCTCGTCGCGCCCTTCATCCCGCACGCGGTAAGAAACGTCGCGACGTTGGCAGTGGGGGCGCGCGCACACGACGGCTGACGCCGGCCTGCTGTTGCATTGGGTTGTAGCAGCCAGGCGTCGCCGTCGAGGCGCGCGCCGCCACCGCCTTGTGCTCGGCGGGGGCGGCGCCGCCCGACGCGCCGCCGCACCCATCGCAGGATGGTTGCTGCGACCGCGTGGCGGACGCCGCAGAGCGCCGCGCCCGCAGCGCTGTGGTGAGCGAACAGCCGAGGCACGAATGCTGTCTCGCGGGCACAGCAGCGAGGACGCGATGCGCGTGCGTCCGCGCGCCCCGCAGCGAGCGCGTGAGGTTGCGAGGGGCGCTTCGCCGCGAGGCGACGACACGCGAAACGCGAGAAAGATGGAGCCGCGGTTTTGTCGGATGCGCCGCGGCTAGGTCGCCGCGGAGGGAGCGCACGCGAGCGTTCACCGCGGCACCGGCCAGCCTTGCCGCGCACAGGAACAGTCATGCGTGGCGGCTAGGCCGCCGCGGAGGGAGCGCGCGCGACCCGTCCGCGGCGCCGACCAGCCTTGCCGCTCGCAGGTTCCATAATTGTTTGCGGCAGGCGGGGCGCCCATCTTCCTGTGGGCGCGTTTCGCCCCACCCACATCCGCCCGGGTTGTAGCAGCCAGGCGTCGCCGTCGAGGCGCGCGCCGCCACCGCCTTGTGCTCGGCGGGGGCGGCGCCGCCCGACGCGCCGCCGCACCCATCGCAGGATGGTTGCTGCGACCGCGTGGCGGACGCCGCAGAGCGCCGCGCCCGCAGCGCTGTGAGAGCTCGTTCGCAAGCCCAGCGCAGAGGATGAATACTCGCAGCTTGGTACCGAGGGTCCTATCAGCTTGAAGTTGCTGCCGTTTGTGGTGAACGCCGAGCTGGCTGACCGCTTTTCCCTATTGTTATTTGCTGCCGAGGCTCGGGGGAGGCGAAAACATACCGAGACCCGTTCTGCTACCCCGTTTGCCTTTCGTCGCCCCGGTAGAATTGGGGCAGGAGGGGTTGTCAGCATCCAGTGTCGGTATGGTTGTTTTTGCCTTGGTCCTGATAGGCGGTCGGCGTGCCGCTCGAGGCCCACATCGATTTCATCTCGCGCAACGGGCGCGAGTGGAAGGCTTCGAGATTGCACAGCTTGCTGTCGATCTGCAAGGGCCCGGTGGGCTTGCTCGACCCCGCGAACACCACTCACTTGACCCATAGCTCTGATGACATCGAGTTTCTCATGAAGGGCAGTCTTCCAGGCTCAGATTCCCAGGGCACGCTGGATTCGGATGTCTCTGCGAACGATGACGCGCTGGCACTCTTGAAGCAGATGGCGAGTGGCGACGAGTCGCTCATGACGAAGTTTTCGGAGTGGGAAGACGTGCTGCTCACAGAAGGCCCTTGCTCAAGAGATCTGAAAGACCTCGAGTACCGCCTTGGCCAAGTCACCGAGCCTGAGGAGATGGCCACCCCCGAGGGGCTGGTGCGTTTGATCGAACTCCTCGCGGAAGCCCTGAAGAAGCTTCCCGATCTCACACAAGGTCTCCGCGCTGGATCCACCACCCATCTTGAGATCCGGCTTTCGCAAGCAGCGCCTGCGGCGGCGGAGGAGATCCTCAAGTGCAACGAGAACGATCAGGCGACGTTCCTCGCCACATTCTACGCACCGTTGCAAGCGGCCATCCTCGAGGTAGCCCCCGATCTCAAGGCGAGATTGAAAGTCTGCTTGGCCACGCTATCCGTGATCCAGGAGAAGACTCTCTCGATGCAGAAGTTGATTAACTTGCTGACCGCGATCGATGGGGTCCAGCAGGGTAAGGACTCATGGGGGAACCTTGACTCCCGTCAACGCTCCCATTGCCAAATTCTGCCTCCCAGCGCCCAGCGCCCTTGCACTTAGCAGCTAGTAGCCTAGGGCCTAGCCTAGTAGGGCCTAGGGCCTAGGGCCTAGCAGCTAGCACCAAGCACCTAGCACCCAGCATCGATCAGCCTAGCGCCCAGCAGCTGGGCGCATTGTGCGTGGTATCCCAGTGACTCGACTCTCCAGTGCATCCTAGGTCCTAGGTCCTTCTCAGGTCCTAGGTCCTAAGTCCAAGGTCCTACCTAGGGATTAGGTCCTAGGCCCTAGGGCCCTAGAGCCTAGGGCCTGGGTCCTATGTCCTAGGCGTTCGAAGGCAGATTTTGCATCAGGGGCGAGCTTTGATGTTGGTCAGGGTGTTTCTCATCAAAGCAGGATGAGAACTGGAGCTTATTGCGCACCGCCCTGGTCGCTTGCAAGGGCCTCAAGTTTCAGGAAGACAGCTCGGAGAGAATTGCCGCCTACGAATTCCGAGCGGAGTGCATTCGGGCGATTGCCAGTGAGCCGATCGATACGTGGCACCCGAAGTACGCCACAAACCAGCTTATCATGTTGCAGTGTTTGGCTGAACTATTCGGTCCAGCAGACGTGCCAGAGGTCAGCAAGCTGCTTGATATTGCGAGGTTTACGGTCGACGTCGCAGCTGCTCGTGGCGCCGTGGTGCAGACCGGGCCGCCCGACCAGTCCAACGCCATGTTCAAGACCTCTGCCAGCGCTGTTCAGGCCCTGCATTGAGTGGCATTGTTTCCACTTCCCACTTCAATTGGCCCTAGCTCGTTCATGCATGCCAGCCGCTTCCCATCGGATGCTTGTGGCGTTCCAAACTGACGAACTACTGAACTCTGAAAGGTGCAGATACGGCCTGCCCGTGAGATTAGACTCGACCATTAATTAATATATTGTTGTCTTTCTTGCTTCTCATGCCCCTCAGTAGTCTTATGCTGCTGCTCCTGCTGATCCTTCTCCTCCTTATCCCTCATCTATGACCCCAATGCCATATCCCTTATCATGCTGTTCCTCTGCTCTCTACTCTCTCCTCCATGTCCTCCTCTCCTCCCTCCTCCTCCCCGTCTCCGCCTCCTCCTCCTCCTCCTAGCTCCTAGCGGCGCCTAGGCGCCTAGGCCCTGGGTCCTAAGGCTGTCTAAGTCCCAGGGTCCTTTCAGTCAGAATCTACAGTCCATGCGTCCATGCTGGGCGGGGAAATGAAAACATTGCCATCAGCTCGACGAGCTCGTCCGCCAGCTTCAGAAAGCCAGAGCCCTCGCGACTGTGGATGAGAGTTTGTGGCTGAACAGCAACTTCGGCAAGTGCGACATCAAGGCGACATTCGACTCGTTGGTCGAATCGGCGACCTCGACGCGCAATGCATACATCAGCGGCACGTGCACGGTTTTCGCTGGCATGGTCGAGTTAGGGAAGGAAGAGCTCGGCGATCTTGGGGCTACGTGGAGGAAAGAGCTGCCGGACAATGCCTCCATGATTTGCTTGCGTGAGAAGGCGAAGGAGATTCTTCCAGACGTGAAGGTGATGGAGCAGAAATGGAAGAACCTCAGCACCTGAACTACCAGCTTGGCGAAGGTCCTGAATAAGTTCAAGAATGTGGAGAGTTGCCCTGAGCTCGATGCGCAGCAGAAGGTGAACGACAACGGCATTGCCATGCTTAAGGTTTACCGCTTGGCGATTTGCGAGTTTGTGTTCTTGGAAGATGAGAACCTGAACAAGGATACCATCAGCAAGCAGATCAAGGCGCTTGCTTCCATCGGCGCACAGACAGTCGACCTCCACAAGACGATCTTCAACCATGTGCAGGGTATTTTGCAGGGGAAAAAAGCATAGGGCCCTAGGGCCAGAACAGTCTGACTGGATCTGTGTTGGACCGGATATTGCCTCTCTCGCCGACTGCGCTTACGTTTCCGCGCACGGCTTCGTGTTTGTCGACCCCCACTTGCTCGCGGTGTCCGCCTTCGTGAGCCTGGGCCACTTCCAGGCTTGAGGTTGCTGCAGCTTCCGTCGCCTTGCCTCTCCCAATTCCTTACTTGTCGGTGTCATGGTTTCCCAGGGCTTGAGATAAGCTTGTTGGGGCCTGTCTAGGCCTAGGGTTACCTAGGGCCTAGGCCCTAGGCCTGGGCCTAGGCCCTAGGCCCTACCTAGGCCAGGCCCTCTTGCTTTTCTTATGGTTTAACCCAGTTTCGGCTGGCAGCAGTGCAAAATCGCTCGGGAGACACGGCGCGCGTCTACGCCGCTTTCTTATATTAATGTCTCTCTCCTCTTTTAGGCTTTGTTCTTACCTCCGTTGCCGCTGCCGTTGCTGCTCCTCCTACTTCTCAGGCTGTCTCGTCGTCGGTGCGGGTTTCATCGTCCTCCTCCTCCCCCTCGTGCTCGCCCTGCCTCCTCTGGCCTCGTCTTTCTCATCCTCCTCCGCAACTCCCCTTTCCTTCTCACCCCGTGCTCATCCGTCTCCTCCTCGCCGTGCTTCTCCTGATCCTGCCGCGGCTGTTGCTGCTCCTCTTGCAGGTCCTCCAGCTCCTCTGCCGCATCCCCCGCCTCATGATTAAATGTTATCTGCTATCCTGCCTCCTCCTCCTCCTCCTCCTCTTCCTCGTCCTCGCCCTTCTCCCGCTGCTGATCCTTCTTCTTATCGCCATCCTCGTCGTCCTCCTCCTCCTCCTCTTCCTCCTCGTCCTCCTTCTTCTCCTCGTCCTCCTCCTCCACCTCCTCCTCCTCCTCCTCCTCCCCCTCCCCCTCCTCGCCCTTCCTATCCTCGGCCGCCCTTTCGCCGCCTCCGGACCCCAAGTGCCCCTCCGACCAGCGCGCGGGGCGCTCGCCGGAGACGTTCCTATGGGGCGCCCGCCGGGCCAGCGCGCGAGGCGCTCGCCTGAAGGCGCAATGAATTTTGTTCGCTCTAGCCTCGCCGCCGGGCACTGCCACGCGGGCCCCCCGAGGATCTCGGAGATGAGAAGGGGGGGGAAAGGGGGTGAAGGAGGAGCGGGATGAGCGAGGGGTGAAGGAGGAGGGAGGGCGAGGAGGAGAAGAAACAGGAGGATGAGGTCAGGGACCAGCGGCGGTAGCGACAAGTGACTAGTGACGAGACTAGAGGAATAGTGACTAAAGGCCCGAGTGACTACTAGTGACTAGTACTAGGAGGCTAGAGCTAATGGATAGCGGCTAGAGTGTAGAAGGCGGCTAGAGGCTAGGGCGATCAGGACAATGGCGATTCTTCGGATCAGAAGGGACCTGGAACAGCCTACGTGCCTGCGTCCTACGACGTGGGTCGTAGGTCTAAGGTCTTACGTCCTACGACCTAGTAATGCGATGAGGGTAATGGAGGAACGGGAGAAAGAGAGGCAGAGGGGGGGCGGCATGCCGTAAGTAGCGCGAGTAGCGTGGAGTGTGCAGTGTGTAGCGCGCAGTGGATGCGGCGAGCTACGCGCTATGCCGTAGTTTGAGTAACTAACCCTCAAGTGGGCCTGGCGGCTACAGTTGCGGGAGGAAGAGGATGAAGAAGAGGGTGGAGGAGGAGGGGGAGGAGACGGAGGAGGAGGAGGATGAGGATAGGGAGGGCGACGACGAGCGCGACGACGACGAGCAGAAGGCACGGGGTAATATGGCAGGGGGAGGAGGTGGACGTGCGCGAGGGGCAGGATGAGGAGGAGGAGGAGGAGGAGGAAGATCAGGGAGAGTCGGCGGAGGAGGAGGAGGAGAGGGATGAGGAACAGGATGAGGAGGAACGAGGCGGGGGGCAACAAGCGCGACGGCCTGCAGCAGGCGATGGCGGTGGAGGATGAGAAAGAGTTGTAGGAGCAAAAGGATGAGGGAAACTGGGAAGGAGACGAACGAGGAGGCGGAGGTGGAGGAGGATTAGGGGACGAGGGAGAGGAAGGGACAAGAGGAGGAAGGGAGGGGAGCAGAAAGAGAGGGGTGATTCAGGGCGCCCGACTCGTTGCTGGCGGCGCTACTGCCACCGATCCCGCTCCGAGCTCTTGCCTCTTTGCTCGTCTGCCCTCTCCTCTTCCCCCTTCCTTCTCCCTCGCGCCTTCCCCCCCCCATCGGCGTGGCGCATAGCCGCGGGGCCGCGTGTGCGGCGTAGCCCTCCTGCTCATTCCCATCCCTTATCCTGTATTATCCTTTATCCCTTGTCCCGCTCCTCCCGCCCCTCCTCTTCCTTGTCATCCTCGGCCTGATCCTCGTATCCATTATCTAAGGTCTGAGTCTAAGGCATCTAAGGTCTAAGATTGTTCTCGCCCTTTCTCCTTCTCCTCCTCCTCCTCCTCCTCCTCATCCTCGCCATTATCCTTCTCCTCGCCCCAGTCCTCGTCGTCGCCTCCTCCTCCCCCTCCTCCTCCTCCTCCTTCTCCTCCTCCCCCTCCCCCTTCTCCTCCATGTATTAGTGTCTGTGCGCCGAGTTCCTGCGGCAACGTTTGTGAATTGTATAATTTGTGATCGTCGCCTGCGCGTTCGAAAAATGAGAGGACCGTTGATCGCGATGCCCCCCCGCGCTCCTCCTCGGCGCCCTGCGCACTTGGATGTCAGGCGGCGCCGAGGGGGTCACAGCAGAGGGCATTGGGGGTTATTTCCTCTGGAGGTCTGGAATTTACGATTTTAGATCCAAGTGGGGGCCGGGGTCGAACGTCGACCCTGGGATCTCTCCAGGGGTGCGTTTGGGCCTGCGGACCAGAATTTCAAGGGGGGTCCAGCCTCGGCGAAGAGGGGCCCACAGGAGGCACAGAAAACACGAACACACACACACACACACACACGCACACACACAAACACACAAACACACACACACACACGCACACACACACACACCCACACACACACCCACACACACACCCACCCACACACCCACACACCCACACACCCACACACCCACACACCCACACACCCACACACCCACACACCCACACACCCACACACCCACACACCCACACACCCACACACCCACA